ATATATATATATATATATATATATATATATATATATATATATATATATATATATATATATATATATATATATATATATATATATATATATATATATATATATATATATGACGCAACTCTGGGGAGGTTGCAGGCAATCTGTTTACTATTTTTAAGAACTCTTGCCTCACCCTCCCTCCTGGGCTTGAAGGTCTTTCAAGGAGAAAATTAGTTTGACAGCTTTGTGGGTGCTTCTTAGAGGAATCTTTTGAATCGTTTTATTTTGCTTGTGGTTTTTTTTTTTGTTTTTTTTTGCATACTGCCAGAAAAAAATATACTGTATGACATAAGGCCATTATTGAATATGAATAGACCTCACTTTATTTTATTTCCTTTTATATGGTATGAGGCGAAGGGTTTTTTTCTCTCTCTCTTAAGACATGCAGCAGTTCAGAGCATAGGACTGTTTCTTTGATCATCAGTGGAAATTTGGCATCAGATAACATAGTCACTGGCTGCCTTTTTTTAAGCAATTAAGAAATGAAAATGGTGAAAATAGTCTACTTACCAGTCATTGTCCTTCAGAGTAAAAATTTTAGTTGTTTTCTAGTACTCATTTAGAACAGAGATTCTACATCTAGATCAGGGGTAGGCAACCTTAGCTCTTTTATGACTCGTGGACTTCAACTCCCAGAATTCCTGAGCCAGCATGGCTCAACTTGGAAACCTCTCCCTTTCCCCTCAGCATGGCTGGCTCAGGAATTCTGGGAGTTGAAGTCCACGAGTCATAAAAGAGCCAAGGTTGCCTACCCCTGATCTAGATGGAGATGTGTTAGCCCTCAGACAAGACAAAACTTCATAAAGTTCTCAGGTTAAAGTTTCTATCAAATTTGGCATAATTCTGGACTTTTGAAATCCTTAGATTATACCCCAACTTCTACTGCTGCTCATTTGCCCTTTTGCACCCACTACCCAGAAGAAATTTGAATAAGCTATGGAGAATACCGGTAACAGGGAACTGCTACTGATTTTAGCCTTTGATACGTATTTTCAATTAATTGACTGTCTCATTCAAAATTTACACTTTGTAATATTTGTTTTAGAAAATAATTGGCATATTTCAGTAAAATGTTTAGTATACAGTAGTTGAAGCAAAGTGAACCAAACTGTCAAAACATAGGTCTTATTTAGATGGAATTGAACAAATTAATTGAGGAACCAGAGGATTGGTTCTTCACCAAGAAGAAAGAGGGAGGGAGAGGGCATAAGCAGTTTCTTCAGAAAATGCGCAATTTAGATTGAAGAATCAGAGTTAAACAGCATAGCTATCCAAGCTTTTATTGATTCACCTGGATAAATTCCTAGCAAGCGCAGGTGTAAGATATGCCTAGAAGTTTCACACTTCTGGAGGACAGCGTGTTGAGGAAATGTGACTTATGATCTTACATATAATAGGATAAAACATCTATCTACAATTGCAATTCCCAATATTTCCTCTTTGCCACTCATAATGTTTAAGGACCTCCATATAAGGCAGAGATTGGTAAAGTGATACCTTCAGGCACTCCAGCACATGAGTTCACACAATTGGTTTGTGCAAGATCACATTTAAATCAAACTGAGTTAAATAAGAGGATTGTGTTCCTATTTGAAATATCCTGATTTGGGAATCCCACAAGATTTTGGCCATTTTTTAAAAAAAAAACTATTTCAGTGCTTGGAATATGGTCCATTTGCAGTGCCCATATGGACCGCCAGTGGTCCCTAAACACAGGTTGAGAATCAGAACTTGCCATCACCTTAGTTGATTACATTTTCATGGAAGATGCCATGTAACCTTCCTGAGTGTGTCGCTTATCTTGTAATCTTTAGCCATTTAGGTGTAAAATAATGTAACACATTATAGGGGTGTTTTGATAACAAAAGCTCTTGCATTTTCATATGTGTGCAGTTCCAAGGTCAAGTAAATCTTCATGTTTTTGAAGACTGGTGTGGTGGATCTATTGAACAATTGAGGAGAAATCTTCACTTTCCTTTGTATCCTCATGTGAGTATCCTTTTAGGCCCATGGATTGATGATATGCCGTCAAGTTGTTTTCAACTCCTACCAATCACATAGACTTTCTCCATCAGGAGCTGTACCTAATCTAATCTTTCAGGTCTTCCAACTGTGAACTAATCATCACTGTAACTGAGTCCATCCACCTTGCTGTTGACCATCCTCTTCTTCTCTTTCCTTCTACCTTTCCCAGGGTTAGAGCTTTCTCCAGAGAGCTGGGTCTTCTCAAAAGTGTGTGTAAAATAGAATAACTTGAAACTCTTTAAGACCACATTTTCCTCTTTTACCAAATGAAGAAATAATTCTGTCTTCCAATAGTGGTTGGGTTCACTTAATTCAGGATTTTTTAATAGTTTGTTGACTAATGACCAGATTCACCAGATTCACAAATCATTCTGAACCCAAAATGGCTGGGTTCACAAGTCCCACTAATCTCCACAAAACTTGCACAGTGAATGGAATCAGTGTAGAGGGCAATCTTTTCTTATTTGGAGACACATTTAGAAATTTATGAGTATGTGATTATACTCCAAATAAATTGCTACCATAAGAGGATTTGTACATGCACAAAGATTGGGCCCCAGTGAGCCACAAAGAGCCACCAACTTTAAAAAATGTGTAGGAACAGGCCACTCAAATTCGACTTTTGAGTGTGTTTAAATAGAGGGAGAGATTTTTGCATTTTTGCATCACAAATAAACCAGATTTTAATTACCTTCCCTCCCTATGGTCTTGGTTGCTCTTCATTGCCTTTCTTACTATTTGTAATAACATTAAAATCTGCAACTTGGTTCTTGATTAATGGTAATTTAAGATGTCCTCTAAATTACGATTATGGCTTTCTGACAAAATATTTTCATAATTAAGATTTGCTCTTTATAGAAGAATTTAGATAAAGCTCATTTTAGTTATTAGGTCTGGAAAACATGTGTATGAAGAATATGCAAAGAAATGCTTCCAATGCTGCCTGCATAAGAGAAAAGGGCATATAAATTGGAATGAGTTCAAGGCTAGGCTTAGGTTAAGTTTGTTCTTATTATAATTAATAAAGCATAGCTCTTTGGATATGTTAGCTGTATTTTTAAACTTGGTTTATACAAGATTACATGTTGGCAAGAATTGGAATTATAGGGCTGAAGTTGCTGCTACAGTTGGTACTTTGGGATCCACACTGCTATGTTATGTGCAAGTTGTACCTAAATTGCTCGCTGCTTTAAAAGCCAGAGATTACTGACGACAACAACTATATTTGTAAAAATGATTATTAAGACATTTAACTTAAAACTTTTAACTGTTCAGGGAAGCAGAGCCTTAAGCATGAAACAACACATTGTTTGTTTTGTTTCTTGCCCATGCTCTATTTCTCTGAATAGCTCTGATTTTATTTCAGAATTCCCAACAATTCCTTTTTATTCTTTTATTCCCAGCCATTCCTTTTTATTCTTTTATTCCCAGCCATTCCTTTTTATTCTTTCTCCTCCATTCCTTTATCTTAGTCCAGCTCAATTTAGTAATGCTAACATTTCCTTTTTCTTCTGCTTCTAGACACGCACTACTTTGAAGAAGCTAGCAGTATCACCAAAATGGAAAAACTATGGATTGCGGATATTTGGTTACTTGCATCCATACAAGGATGGTAAGAGGAGAGCAAAACTGGCTGTATTACAAATAACTTTTCAAGTGTAGAATAACTTGAATCTAGGAGACTTCCATAGCTTTTAAATAACATTATTGTGTTTTTTTTACATTTGCTACTCCCTTGTGAGGGTTGCTGCTGAGTAAATACATCAAGTGTGGCAGGATATATTCCACGGATTAGCATATGCTTAAATCTATTGCACTAAATTCAAGTCCTTTTCTTAGATAATGTTATTTTTATTGCAGATTCATGTTTGATCCAGGCCTGCAGTTATCACAGGTTTCTGTACATAGAGATAGTATTCTATGTTTATCGCCTCTGACTTTATTCTGTATTATTAACCTTTACATTTTCTATTGTTTACATTTCTTTTGTCTTACTTTTCTGTTTAAACTTTATACTCCTCACCAAATTCAAGTAATCCTCAACTTACAACCACAACTGAGCCCAAAATTTCCATTACTAAGTGAGACATTTGTTGACTGAGTTTTGTCCCATTTTCTTGCCACAGTTGTTAAGTGAATCACTGCAGTTGTTAAGTTAGTAGCACAGTTTTAAGTGGATCTGGCTTCCCCATTGACTTTGCTCCCAGAAGGTCGCAAAAGGTGATCACAGGACCCCGGGACACTGCAGCCGTCATAAATATGAGCCAGTTGCCAAGTGTCCGAATTTTGATTATGTGACCATGGGGATGCTGCAGTGGTCGTAATTGTGAAAAACGGTCATAAGTCACTTTTTTCAGTGCTGTTGTAACTTCAAACAGTCACTAATTGTTATTAGTTGAGGACTACTTTTATAGTACAAACCTGTACAAGCTCCAAAGGTAAGTTGTGTTTGAAGCTTCTTAAATGGTATAGTAGTAGTAGTAGTAGTAGTAGTAGTAATAATAATAATAATAATAATAATAATAATAATAATAATAATAATAATAATAATAATAATAATAATAATAATAAAGTTGGAAGGGACCTTGGAGGTCATCTAGTCCAACCCTCTGCTCTGGTAGGAAACCCTATACCATTTCAGACAAATGGCTGTCCAGTCTCTTCTTAAAAACTTCCAGTGTTGGAACATTCAGAAATGGATACTTGGCGAAAGCTGCTTTCACAATAGGTGCAACCTGTACTACTTTGGTAGATGGTAAAAATAAGAATGATTAAAAATAAAGCAAGTATTAGGAAAATGAGTCTCATTAAACATCTATTAATGAGTGCAGATTGGTACCATGAGGTTTAACTGTTTGTACTGCTATTGGATTTATTCCAATTTTTGCAAATTGTTACCATGTGAACTATTACACACACATATATATATACTGTATATATAATCATTATATCATTGGAAATAATATTTATTATTTATTAAAGATATATCATTCTGCTTCCTTCCACTGGCATGGAACACCATTTCCCATCTTTTTCAAATATTTCTTACTGTTAAGTCCAGTTTTGTTTTTGGATTTCTGTAGGTATGTTTCAGTTTGCGATTGGGGCTGATGACAATGCTGAGTTTTGGCTGAGCCAAGGAAAAAACATCTCAGAGCTTCAACTGATGGCCAGTGTAGGCAAGGTGATCAACTATGTTCTCTCGATTCTTTATTTCATGTACAACGTACACTTCAAAGGAAAGAGGAAATTGCTTGTTCATATAAATTAATATTAATTTATGTATTTGAAAATCGATACAACTTTGCTATATCAGCACACTATTGATGTTAATTAATGCTTCACCCATTTTATGTTTATGTTTGACAGCTGTCATATGTTCTTGAATGGTATCCCATTAAAAATTGTAGAATTACCTGGGACTGTTACAGCAACCAGGGATACCAACTGTCAGATCTGTAGCGAGATACAAAATGGGAAAATCTGCATCACTGAAGTGCGAAAATAATGTAAAACTGTTTCCTATTTAATTCTACTATCTACAGACCCCTAACGTAGCACAGAACTGCAGAAGAGTTAAATATATTTAGCAACTTGTCTTGTGCATAGTATTAACATTTCATAACCATATATGTTTATTATGTGTTGGATGTATTAATTCAAGGGCCATGGGGATTCTGATTCTAGTTTTGATGAGTTCTTAAACTGTGAAAATAATCTCTCTGTGATGTTTGGGTTACACAAGTGAAGATGGCAATGAAAAATAGGCAGAATGTTATAAATTTAAATTTATGGATTATCATACGAAGTCACATTTAGAAAGTATTTGAATATTTTAAAAGCAAGGGCTTTTTTTACTTTATAAAATTTTAAAAATGGTAACAAAAGGTATAAGAGCCTGCTTAAAATTTTCATGCCTATGTTAGCCAGCTCTGGAAATGTCTTATTTCATTCATGTACACACGCATGCCTGCATATATTCATTCAATATTTACAGCTCATAATTTTTGCTCAGTCTCTTGGCTTCTCCTTTTGGCCCCATTTACACAGGCACAGCCACACTGCACCCATCTAAATGTGGGTCAGCCAAGAATGACACTATAGCAAAATGCAAATCTAGCAGCTGAATGAATACTCACTCCCTCTTCTACAGTTCTTCCCTTCTTATATCTCTCATTCAGCTTTGACAGCAATGCTGTTCTGTCTTAAAGGTCGAGAGCAAGTAGCAATCAAGAGCATTCATGTGTTTAACTACAATTGAAGATGTATACTATGTTATTTAATCTGGTTAATCCCTTGTACACTATTACAGTCTGTGAAAAAAAACGTGTTCTGACTTTATGTGTCTGAAGCCTCACATAAAAGGGATGTTTTGTATCTTTGTTCAGACTGGAAAAGAGTGGACAGCACCAGGTGAATTTGGGAAATTTAGAAGCCAAAAGTCAAGACTCGTGAAGTGAGTAAACTGAGATCTTAATTCTATTTTGTACTTTACTGAACTGGATACAAGCCAGGTAGCCATATCTTCTTTCCCATCTTAAACCCAGTCTGCAAGTCTTTTGTCATTGTGTGTGTATATTTAAAAAAAAAAAACCAATTCTAAACCACTATGACTTCAAAATATTTGCAAGTGGAGTTTATATTTCCTCAAAATAATTTCAGAGTGCTCCCTAGTGGCCAGTGGTACAATTTTCTACACATCTATTGATCCAGTAGAAGAGAATATTTGTAGTTTAGGGTTGAACTGTGGGATCTTCTCTGAGTTTGGTGGATTCCTTGCACACATCGCATTACTAAACTACGTAGCATCACCAGTGCTAATATGATGGCACTGGTGATGTTATCTAATTTGATAAGGAAACGTCTGCAAGAAAAACACTAAGCTCAGAGAGCACTAAGGATCCCACATTATTAATCCTCCTTTTCCCTGGGTTATTTCTCCATTTGCACCTAACCTTAGCATTAAAAAGTTCTGGCAATATCTCGTTCCCACCAATTTTCCTTGGCATGGCTCTCATCTCGTTCCTAATTCACAAATGAAACAGATTTATGTCATCCTTAGATGTAGCAGTATTAAAGGAGTGTTTCCCTCTTTAAGGCAATTAGATTTAGTGACAGGCTTTACAAGGTTTGTAAAATCTATTATGATTCCCCACCCATTACGTTAGATTAGAGGCTAACTGAGATATTTAGTAGCTGCTTCAAAATTATGCAGATATGCTTCTTCCTCTCTAATCTGCAATCAATCTCATCTGTCAATGTTCTGCTTGACAGCTAGATGCAGAATTTTCCAGTACACATCATCTGCTCAGCTGGCTGTAGTGTGAGAGTTTGAACTCTACTGATTTAATGCAAGGTTAAACCTTTGCATTGTTGGAAGGATGGGCCCAGCCTCTGCCCCCGTCCCCCCACCATCACTACTACCATCCCAAAGATAACATGGAAAGCTCTAGAAATTGCCTTGTGTTCCCAAAAGGAAACTAAGAAAAATCTGAAGTAAAGTGCTGTTATAAAGTTCAACTAACTTTATAACTCCAGTCTGTTGTGGGGTTGTGTCAACTGTCCCAATGGCATATGTAGCAAAAGAAACTCCTGGGACATTATTTTACCAAGACTATGCCTTTATTGATAGATCCATATAGGCACAGTAGAAACGAAGTCAGTTCTGATGTTTTCCTGCGAAAACTGGATAGTTTAAAATCCCCTTTTCCCCCCATTGGGCCACCCACATGTTCATTGTCCACCAATCCAATGCAATCTCTTTGTTTTGGGAAACAGTCTGCTCGCCTCAGAAGCTCTCTCATCGTTCCACCTTGAGGTGTCAAGATTCTCCCAGGCCTCAGTCGGTGCACATGAATTCCTCAATTTCCTCCCAGCCACCCATACATTCCCATCATACCCTTCCCTCCTCCCTTGTTTTTGTTGTTTGGCTGCGAGCAAAAGTGCACAGCCAGTCAGACATGACAGGTTGTTTATTGTATTCAGTTCTGAAAGTTTAGTTTAGTGGTTGAGTCATCAGGCTAGAAATTGGGAGACCATGAATTCTACTCCCACCTTAAGCACAAAGACAGCTGGGTGACTTTGGGCCAGTCACTCTCTCTCTCTCTCAGCTCTAGGAAGGAGGAAGCAAGGACAAGCCACTTCTAAAAATATTTTCAAGAAAACTTCAGAACCTTGTCCAGACAGTTGACAAAGTCAATACTGATTTGAAGGCACCCAACACAAAAATGACAAGAGTGGATCTACAAGGAATGGACTCCCAAGTCATCCTGCAATACCAGTAACGGGGATCTTTTTCCTCCCAACCTGCGATGAGTGGAAGAGGGAGAAAACAAAGCCAGAAGACTGTACCAATCACACACTGCTCATGCTTTATCAGGACAACTTCATTTAGTAGTGACACAGAGCAAGAGGCAGATAAGGATTGGCAACAAGCACACTGAATGTCACCCCGGTGTAGTTTTCGACTGACTCAAGGATAGTTGGCTAGTGCTTTAATCCAGCAGTAGGGAAAGAGTATCTGCCGTGCTTTATTTCCACATTTTTCAAATGCCAAGTATACGTTCACATGTTATTAATGGATTGATTGAAATGATCATATGGTACCTTAATTATCTGTACATTGGCTACTCCATACACTGGAATTCAACATGCACAAAGAACACATTCTCCATTACCTTCCATAATATTCCTATGCCTGCTGATTGATTGACTTTACCACCTAGAAGGTCCAAAATATTGTAGAACCAAGTGATGGGACCTCTTAAATAGAAAGAATTGAGAGAAGATGTGAAGAAAATGGCCCCACATCTTTCCCACATGGATGTGGGAAGAAAGTAATCTCATCATTTCCCTAAACAAGTGGGTTTATGCATTTCTTGGAAACTAGTCCAAAATGTCCTCTTCGTTTTTTAATACCTTTAATACATTGTATTGATAGCAAAAGACTTATTTTGCTTTTAATCTCTTTTCTTCCCTTGCAGATTGTCAGCTGCAAACAAATATTACTTTGAAATTCTACACAAACAAAATGACAAAGGAACAGATCATGTGGAAGTTGCAGTAGGTTCACTAGATAGATTTGTATTTGGTTGTCTGTACAGGGATTTGATTTAGGAGTTTTGGCAATAGATATTTCATGGACCAACTTTTGCTTTCTTCTTGTTGGAGAAAGCATCTTCTTTCTGATATAGTATATGAAGTTAATATTAGTAGCAATTTTACATATGAACAGTGATTCAGACAGTTGAATTAGTCAAAATGCTCGGCCACCTTATGCGTCTCTAAGTGGAAAAGGAGGAGGAGGGAAAAATAAAGAAAAGATTGCATGTATCTCAGATCCTACCTGTTAGTTTATCACATCCCAGAGACCCAAACAGAACCTGTTGGTTCCATGTTCTTATACAGCTTAATCTCCCCCTAAGAAAAATGCAAATATCATCTTTACCAAAGTGTTTTATTTTAAATTGTACTCAAGTACTTTCTACCATTCACTCTGCAAAGCTTTCTTGCTGAGTGAAGCAAGTGCTAAAATTTCAAGTCAAATTATATTTCACTCACTAACTATACAAAATATTTCTGAAATAGTTTCTTTGACCTTGTCGATCAGGAATTGTAATCTGGAAAATCAAACACAGCTCAACAGCCATTTACAGTAATCCTCCAGAAGTCAGTAAATCTCCTGGTTTTCTTTTCTGAAAGGCCATAGTAGCTAAGGTGCATTTAGATTAATCTCTGTTTTCTCTCCCAGTTAACAAATCTATAAAATGTGTATGCATCTGTCTTCTTCTTTCAGTGGAGATTGGATAATCCGGAAGCCAAGTTTACTATTATTGATTCTGAATTCCTCTCTCTTTATGTCGGTAAGTCTTTCTATGCCACAAAACTAATAATGGCAGCAGTTTCTTCTCTGACTTCATTACCCCTTTTTATCTGAAATGCTTTGTCACAAATGCTGCTAATGCATAGAAAACAGAAGTTTTCTAAATGTATTTACATAGTTGATAGATTTCACAGGGTGTCAAGAGACAAAATTGATTGGTTTATATAGTACAGTCTCTTGACTAAGGCTCCCTTTAGTCGTCCTTTACTATATGCTCCTACTAAATGAGATGAAATAACCTTTTATTAAGATGACGCCTTTGTGGATGATGTTAGGCCATATTTTACTTCTCTAAAGTATGACTAATTTCTCTAAAGTTAACAATGGGGCCAGTGGGAAACTATTACAGAAAATTGAGGCTGTCACAGAAACAACACTTTGGGGCATTCCTGTCTCTTATTTACCAGAAATAGGACACTATCAACTATTTTTCATGAGTGATACTTCAGTAAAATCTAGTTAGTAAGAGGTGATCCTGAGCATATCCAGATGCCATGCCATATAGGGCATTGTAGGTTTAAATCAGCACTTTGATTTGCCCCACGAAACATATTGACAATCAATGTAAGGCTCACAAAATTAATGCCACATACTCATAGTACTGAGCACCTGACAACATGTGAACTGCTTCGTTCTGGACCATTTGTAGTTTTCATGTGACCTTCAAATGCCCTCTATTGCTCTAATTATATTCCCAACTGGCACACCTCTGGAAAGTAGACCACTTGGCCACAACCTATGGCTGCTCTTCCAGTAGTAGCTCCGAGTCTATAAGATCCCCAAGACACGGACCTTCTCTAACAGGAAAAATGCATGAGAAGAACAGAGTGGAAAAGATGGGGTAACAACTTGGAAAGAATAGGAGAAAATGTAACTACATCAGGTCAGAGTTGATGTAGTTTTCTCCCTGTACCATATATGTTTCTGGTGCATAGGAAGACTATGAATACAGGGCAATCAGGGGAAAAGGGACCTTGAGGTAGACCCCAAATCTTTTGCTTCTCCTGACATTGGAGTTCCAGTATTGGTAAAGACAACATAGAATTTCATAGGGCAGTTATTTCCTATCCTGGGGTCATTAGACATGTTGAGATTTTTTTGAAATGCAGCCCTAGCTTGTCTGGAAATTGCCAACCTGAGACGCCTGAATCTAGACTTCTAGATATCTAGATGTCTTCTAGAAGTCATATTTCCTCAAGTGCTGTCTCGTGTCCTAAGAAAATGAATTATTTCTCCATTCTCCCATCTATCATACTTCATTAGCGTTTCTTTCTTTATATCTTAGATGAAACTCTTCTCAAAATGGATGAAGTTGCTCATATCCCACAGACACTAGCCACTCGGGCAAACCAGATGCTGCCTAGTCAGGATGCTGTAGAACATCCAGCTGACATGCTGAAAGCTGACCCCCGGGACACAATTTATGCATGTAAACATTCTGATGTTCTGTTTGACCATTCTTCAGAGTTCAGTTGCAGCAGTAGGGCAAGAATAGTCTTTTTTTTTTTTTTTAAAAAAAAATCCAATACAAAAAAGAAACAAGACCAAATAAGCCTACTAGTGATGAAGCTCGTTCCCCAAATACTCTCTGGAACAATCTGATCTTCACAAGACTCACGCAGCTGCTTCAAAAGCTGACAGGGGGCTTTTATATATATGTTTGTCTATGCCATAGACAATGCTTCTGCTGGAACCACCAGCAAAACAAACTGGCTGTGCCTGCCCATACATGCAGAGACAATTGGGGAAGCAGAAGTGCTTCATTTGCACTATCGTGCTTTTCAAATCACCTCTTTCAAAGTTTTTTGCATAGCCCTAATATTCAGCAATGAAGGAGGCCAGACTGCCAACATTAATTCAAGATGGCCTGCAACATGACTTTAAGGTTCAGGAGATAATGGTTTTTTTAAAAAACAAATTTTATTGGTTTTTTAGTTTCTTAAAGCAACATATTCAGGACACACCGTGGTGCTGGGGTAATCAAACATCCTAAAACAAGACATATATACATGATACAATCAATACATCAAGTATTCCCTCTCTTTTTCCCTCAAATAGCATGGTATATTTAAAATATCCAATTCTAGCTTAAATTTATTCAACCTGAACCTATTTTTAAGCTTCATTAATTTACAATACCATAATCAAATTAACTTTAAATAAAAACATTTTCAATTCAGATATCCCTTCCACATGTATTCTACTTTCTTAATTTTATCAAAATCTTATTTACTTCTTCTTCCATGAATCTCCCTTATTTGGAGTAAAATATTAATCTATCCTGTACCTATCAAATCCATCAATTAATCAATCTCTTCAAGCTAAAAAAATAATATCATACCTTAAATCATGTCATTCCATTAAACAGAATTCAAGTCTCCAGTTAAATTATCATGACTAATAACGACCATATCGTCAAAAAATCATATCATCTTATTAAATGTCAATTGACTAGTAATTCACTTCAAATCTGAAACATCTCTTCAGTTTTCGTCATTCCATTACGTCATAATTTTCATAGAAATAAACCTAACATTCTAAAAGGAGCATTCTTAATATTCTAAATTATCTTTAATCCATTATATAAAAAAATATCTTGTTTTTAAACAGGGTTCAAGAGATAATGTTTGATAGCTTGGAAATGTAGCCTTTGCAATTGCCTCTTTTTCGTTTATTTTTGGTCTCCTTAGTGCCTCTCTTAAGGAAAAACCATATCCGCAGGATGATGCCAGAATGTCAGTACAAACCAAGTTATGTGGTCAATGGATTCAAACTACACCGCTACCAGGGTCTTAATTTTGTGAGTCTCATTTCTCAATTCAAGCTTTTTTTGCAGCTTATGCACATTGCCATCTGAAGGTATCAAGCAGTGGCTTGTATTGAAATAACATAGTTGTACATAATATCATCTGGTAGTTGCCTATCAACCAATAGTTGTATAATCTTGAAGCCTACTGGGTAATTTGGTCCTGATTCTGATGAGTATTCCACATTAGTTGTGGAGTTATTTTTTCACTAATTAATACTATCCAAGCTTTATTTGCTGCCTGTACTGCCATAAAAAAATAATTTGAGTCTTACCTAGCTTACTGGCAGTAGAGATTTTTTGTGACAATGGGCCTCATTATTCAGTTTTGTATGATGGCAGCAAAAATGGACCTCCCAAAATGTTTAAAACCCCCAAATCTCAAAAGATGATTTGTCTAATATTATCTTTCATTGATTTTACCCTTAAGAGTTCAAGATCCCAGATGAAAACTCCCAAATATTGTTTAGCAGTTCCAAAATTTCATTTCATTGCTTTTAAAAATAATATTTTAGATATTTAATTTAATTTTTGTTGTATGGCATTTAGAGATGCTGCTAGTATCATACCATAACCAACCTTGAATTATGATCCTACTGGATATAAAGTTTGGAAAATAAGGTTATCTTTAGTTGTATAGTCAGCTCACACTTCCAGCCTTACTGCGAAGAAGGATGATGTCTTATTTCTCATGTATGATTAATTGAATGACATGACCTTTTAAAACTCTGACCCTAATTGGTAAAATCTGCTGTGTTAAATTAGCCCCTGCTAATTCATCCGCTTTTTAAAATACATTTTCCATTTGAAGGAATCTTGCTAGAAATGACCTTTATGCTGACATTGTGGGTCTACTTCATGCTTTCTGGGAATTCCAGTTGTGTTCTCAATGCACCTATAGCACTGGTCCCCAACCCATGGGCTGCGTCCCAATACCGGGCCACAGCCTGTTCAAAACCGGGCCACATGAGCAATGGGCAAGAACACATGTGCGTAAAAAACTCCACTCGCTGAGTGAAGGGCACTTGTCACTCACACATACCCTGCGCTGGCCCAGGCCGGGTGGAAATGTTGGGGACTGTTGATGTATAGTGCACTAAACTGGGAAAGTTTGGACTAGAAAATATTCTAAAATAAATCCTTTGCTCAGAGTGGGATTAACCTCAAATAAGTATGTAGAGGGTTGACCCTGAGTATCTTTATGTTCATCAAATAATATCTCCAACCCAACTGTATTAATCGTGGACTTATGGGAGTTGAAATGCAACATAGTGGAAGGCACTCCTAGATTGAATAATTTTGCCCAAAAAATATATGTTTGTTGCTCTTGGGAGGCCCTTGAAGGATTTGAATGACAGAGATGCTAATTTTACGTGGTTATGTTTCCATGATTTTGTTTGTTTTTGAGAATGAATGTTTGGCTGAAAGGCTTTAAAATATTATGATATAAATGATTTATTAATTGCCTTTCCAATCTCATAGAGCCAGTTTGGAGGTTGTTGTTATAAGTAAAATAGGAACCGGAATGTGTGTTGGTTATACTTGCCACCTTGAATTATTTGTAAAAATAACAAAGGCAGGGAAAAAAATTAAATAAAACAATAAATAAAATAAAATAAAGCTGTGTTTCCAGGTTCGATTGTCCTTTGTGTATCCCAATGACTACACCCGGTTGACCCACATGGATTCACTTAACAAATGCATCTACCAGGAAAGTGACTTGTATCTGAACAGGTAAATAAACTCCTCCCATAACTTTTTTTTATGACTGCTAAAATCTTTTTCAACAACTGGAATTTTCCTTTAGGCTAATGGGTTCAGAGAATGACTGATAGTGTATTGAATCTGAAAGGTGATTGAAAAGACTTACGCACTTTTAAAATTTTGTTTTCTGATTAAAAAATAGTGAAAATCCATTTGTCAGGGACTGATGGCTAGAATTTGTTGGCACTCTTTCTGGGTTTGTCCCTGCCTGAGATAAATATTTCATGAGCATCAAGAATTAGCTGATGCAGTAAAAAAAAAAATAGCTGAGAATTCACTGACATGTAATTTTTCTGTGTTTTGGGAAAGGCAATTTGATTGTCTGAAGCTTGAAAGTGGCACACTTTGGGAAAATTGTCATCGATTGATTCTCTTGGTTGCATAAAATAGTTCCTAGAAGCTGAAGACATACAATTAGTCATCAACTTATGATGGGTCATTTAATGATCCTTCAATGTTACAATCTATCTGGAAAAAAAGACAGGTACAACTCGGTTCTGAAGTGCCTAAGTTGCATCCTCCCCCCACTTCAGGTGCCCCACAACACGATTGTTTTTATGCCCCATGGTCGTGTAACTGGGTTTTATGATGGTTTTGCCAAAATAGTTCCATAGCAAACAATGGGTTCACTTAACAACTGCAATATTTGTTTAATGACTGCTGCATTCCGGCTGTCTCAAAAATGTTTTAAAATCGGATTGGTTGCCCTGACCCATTTCGGTGACCGTCATGACATATGACCATCATGGGCTGGCTCCATTACGGTCGTATATCAAGGAGGGGATATCGAATGCTGGCCCTGTGAAGTAACTGGCATAAATCTTGCAGGTTTGGATTTTCCAAGTACATGCAAATGGATCCACCGGAAGATGGATCAAAAATACCAGGTATGTGTCTTTATGTCAGATGTGGAAGCTAGCTTTATCTTTTTCTCTCTCTTGTGCTTTAAGGCTGATAAATGATTAAAAAAAATGCATTAGCATTTAGCATTAAATTAAATCTAATTAATCTAGTTTAGCATTGTATTAGATTCTTTATCTCTTGCAACCACAAAGAATAAATTATTAATTTGGACAAGATGTTTGGATCTTCTTTGTTCAAAACACCCCCCCCCCAAAAAAAGCATCAATACAAAAACTTCACTTTTTCCCTTTCAAACAGCAACCCAGGCACAATTTATACTGTGGAAATATCTTATTTCTCAACTCTTACAATGAACAAGTTGGCCACTCTTGCTATATTTTAGGTTTTTTTTATTTAAACAATAATGCATAAAAATGAAAATGAAATCCCTTCAAAGATTGGGTGAAATAGAATATATTATATAGCTTTAGCACAAATACTTCGTAAATGAAAATTATGGTTTTGGGGTTTTTTGAAGTGCGTAACATTTTCTGGGTGGAGGGACTTTAGTTTTGAGAGACTTTCTTCCCAGAATAGTTGTTGAAGCCAGAATAAAATATATATTTGAGTTAATTTCATTTATTTATACTGCATTTAGCAAAACTTAAATGCTGTCGATATGAATACAGGCAAGCAAGTCATCATATGATTGGACCCAATTTTATGACCATTTTTTTACCATGGTCATTAAATGAATCCCCATGGTTGTTAACTGAATTGTGCAGTCATTAAGCGAATTTGGTTTTCTCAGTTGACGTTTGCTTGTCAGAAGCTGGCTGGGAAGGTCACAAATTGCAATTTTGTACTGCAAGATTGCTGCAACTGTAATAAATACAAGTCAGTTGCCAAGCACCCAAATTGTGGGATTGTTGCAATGGTGGTAACTTTGAGAATGGGCCATAAGTCACTTTTTATCAGGCTGTTGTAACTTCAAGCCATCTTTAACTGAACATTCATAAGTCAAGGACTACCTGCACACTATATAGAGAGTATATAGATAGGTGGGGAAGTTCCCTGGAGGCTTTTGCAGATTTACATTCAGCGCCTTTAATGTAGATGTTTGGGACCCAGTATCTCTAGTCAAATGAGAAACACAGTTTTTTGCAGCACTTCAGTTTTGTATTCAGTACAACAATACCACTCTCCTACTTTCTACAACACTCTTCAAAAACCTTTATGCATCTCTTAGCTTAAGAAACAATAGCTCTTTGAGATTGGATTGAAGCAAGAAAGTGAGCAAGTGGTTAACTTCATTACTTCGTCAAAATGTGGAGACAAAATAACCAATACAATCAATTCGATCAGAATAGAGCTGGAAGGGACCTTGGAGGTCTTCTAGTCCAACCCCCTGCTCCAGCAGGAGACCCTGGGCCTATACCATTTCAGACAAGTGACTGTCCAATCTCTTCTTAAAAACCTCCAGTGATGAAGCAGCTACAACTTCTGAAGGCAAGCAGTTCCACGGGTTAATTGCCGTCACTGTTAGGAAGTTTCTCCTTAAATTCAGGTTGCTTCTCTCCTTGATTAATTTCCATCCATTGTTTCTTGTCCTGTATGATATGTAATTTTATTATTTCTTTTTAAATAGCATGTGATTGGTGAAACATAACTACTACTATAGAAGATATGAAGTACAAACAAAAATATATGAATGCTACTAGAACCAGAAAAGACTATACAGAATAGCGATGAAAAGAGAGACATTTGAAGAAACTAAAAATATATTCATGAAGTGCTAAGATAGAACTAGCTCAGTGGTTAAACATATTATTAAATCTAGCCATACAGACCATCTGTTCCTCCTAGATTTTGGAACAATTTGTTATTTCAGTACAATGATACTTATGTAATAGAGGTTTAATGTTCAATTATTTGGGTGCCTTAACGTACTGAATATAAATAAGAGAAAGAAAAAGTGGATATTTGGTAACTATAATTTCTTTCAGCTTATGAGGAGGACAATTTTGATGATGCTCAGTATGCAGATCCAGAAGCAGCCAGGATAAAGCCAGCAAAAGACCATGTTGCAGCTGTTCAATATGACAGTGTTTATGCTGACCCAGCTCAGAAACGTCGGAATATCTTGTCAGTTATCCAAAAAAGGCAGAAGAAAGATGAGAACAGATATAAAACCAAAGCAGAAAGTTATTCTACAGCAAGGACCTCACATTTGATAGTCAGTGAAAACTTTCAAAACCTTCAAGACAGGAATGTCCACAGATCGACAACCAAAAGGAAAGAAGGAGGCAAGGATTTGCAGACTGGCAAAAGACCCAAGATGACTAAGGAACGTGGAAATTCAACAAGAGAAGCCAGTCAAGCTCAGTTAGGCTTTAATGCAACCAGAAACAAAAAAGCCTTATTGGATACCATCAAAACTGGAAGGGACCCCCAAAACGTTGAAGAAGAAACTGGCAAGACAACCCTCCGAGAACAGCCTATCCATGAGGACCAATGGCTTAATCAAATAGATTCATACATAGCCCAACATAAAGCCGCAGATGCCGCTAATGTCGTTTTTGATAGGAGGGATCTAGATTCCAAGCAGCAAGTCAAGACTGATTCCTCCCACCCAGCAACACAAAAGGAAGAAGCTGTTACAATAGTGGAAGAAGAAAATGAAGACGAAGAAGAAGCAGAAGAAAATGAAGATGATTTATTTGCTGCCCCTCCTCTTTTCTATGACCCAATAGTGAATTGGAAGCAGACTTTCAAGGCAAGCAATGTAGACTTCCAAGCTTTACGGTCAGACTGGATTGATTTGAAGTGTAACACTTCAGGGAACCTGCTCTTAAAAGAGAAGGAAGCCTCCACGGTTGTTCAAGTATTCCTTAAAAAACTGAAGCAGAAGACCAAAGGGTAAGATGGAAGAGACCTTGCAGTCACTCTGATCTTTACAAAATGAGAACTGTAGTACACAGTATACAATGGGATTGCAGATGCATTATATAGGCTTAAATAAGTAGTTAGGAATAACTTCCGGATCTCAATGTGATGATGTTTTGTTGAAGACTTAGGAAGTAAGGAATGTAAAGGGTCTTTTGTTTCTACTATTCAGACATTTGTAGTTGGCAGACCAGATTTACACAGATGAAAATCTCAAATTATGTAGCCAAATCTCACTGCTAACTAGACAAGGCAGCAATATACAGTTGGAACTAGGGTGCTGATCTTGGATGCAAAATCTTATTAGTGATCAGTCCCAGGTACCCAACAAGGCATACCTCCAGTTAAAGATGGGATAGAGCGTTCTCACAAGCATGGTGAGAACAGGAAAATGGTGTTATACAGGTAGTCCTCGATTTACAACCACAATTGAGCCCAACATTTCTGTTGCTAAGCGAAACATTTAAATGAGTTTTGCCCAATTTTACAACTTTTCTTGCCACAGTTGTTGATCAATCAATCAATCAATCAATCAATCAATTTATTATTACAGTCAAAGGCCAACACATAAATTAAACATTCAAATAAAACAAAACTAAACAGAACCAACACAAGAAGACATAGCAATATATTACAATTAATGATGTAATCAATGGGTGACCAAGGTCTGCCTAGTTTTACAGACAGTATAACAAACCTAGCTATCTTCAGAAAAACTGAATCATACTGACCTGACAATAAAAAAAACACTGAGTATAGTCTACTGCTGGCTAAAAACCCACAGTTGTTAAGTGAATCACTGCAATTGGTAAATTAGTAACACGTTTGTTAAGTGAATCTGGCTTCCCCATTGACTTTGCTTGTCAGAAGGTCGCAAAAAGGGTGATCACATGTCCCTGGGACACTGCAACCATCATAAATGTGAGTCAGCTGCCAAGCATCTGAATTTTGATCATGTGACCATGGGGATGCTGCAATGGTTGTAAGTGTGAAAAACGGTCATAAGTCACTTTGTCCAGTGTTGTCGTAACTTTGAACAGTCACTAAATTAACCATTGTAAGTTGAGGACTACTTGTATATGCTAAATGTATTAATTCTGGTTTAAAAACCACTGTCAGCCTTCCCAGGTAGGCCAGACAGGAGTCGTGACCAGATGAACTAATTATTGTTAAGTCTACATTAATAGAATCTTGCCAGTCTGAAAGTACAGACCTCCTGCCATCTCCTTTACAGCCTGAGAAGCTACTGAGGGTCCTTTCTGAGCTTCTTTCTCCACCTGGTTTGCAACTGGAAGCTATGCCCTCTCTTATTTGACTGTTCCCTAGACCAGGGGTCCCCAACCCCTGGTCCGTGGACCGGTACCGGGCATCGGCATGCCAGCAACCGGTCCACACAAACAAGCAAAGCCCCATCTGCGGGATGCAAGTAGCACACAAAACCACACACCCTCTGGTCCATGGAAAAACCTCTCTCCACGGAAGCGGTCCTTGGTGCCCAAAAGGTTGGGGACCTCTGCCCTAGGCAACGTTTCTTTGCCCTGTCTCCCAAAGTCTTCCTCACATATCACTGCAACTTGTTCTGCTGACAAATGAAATGTTTGAGGAAAATAACTAAATATCTGCACTTTCTTGCAGGATTCAGGTCTGTGCAATCAGCTGAGGCACTAGGATTGCCCTGTCCTGCTCCTTATGTGATCCATAGAAGCAAATGGCCACGAATAGTTGAATCATGAGGTGCTGAAGTTGTAGCACATGGGCCATTTTAACAAAGCCAGTACATGTTTTTACCAGCTGCGTGATAATATTCCCCTAAAGTGGGTAGAAAAAAAACCAGATATTTAGAAAGGATAATATAATGGAGGTCTTAGGGATGTCTGACGATCTTTAGGAGTCCAAACTGAAATAAATCACACCAAAAACACAGGGAAGATCTTTGCTGAGCATCAGGGCAGTGAGTTATGTCTGGTCAGCCCCAGCCAGTGGTGGGATTCAGCCGGTTTGCATCGATTCAGTAGAACCGGTAGTTAAATTTTGTTGAGTTGAAGAACCAGCTGAATCCATGCTGCTTCTGGAAATCTGTTCTAGGCCTCGGAAGCCTGGAGGAGGTCTCCCGGGCCTAGAATGGCCCGCTGGAAGTGCATTAATGTCACTTCCGGAAGTCCGTTCTAGGTCTGGTGGAGGCCTCCTAGGCCTAGAATGGCCCGGCGGAAGTGTGTTGATGTTACTTCCGGAAGTGCATTCTAGGCCTCGGAGGCACAGGCCTGCATCCAGGCAGAAAACCGGATGTTAAGGTATTTGAATCCCACCACTGCCCCCATCTCTAACCTCAAAATCTAACTAGAGTTGTTCCCATTTCCAGGCGGTTCCAATTGGAGCGCATTGTGAATGTGGAGAAGCGTCAAGACTACTTACGGGGCAGCCGCTACTTTCTGGAGCTGGAACTGTTGGAGCAGGGAAAGCGCCGAGTCCGTTTCTCAGAATATGTCTATGCACGTGGCTGGCAGGGAAACAGCAACGGAGAGGAGGAAGCTAATATGAAGGAGCTGGCATGGGGCCACCGCCGTCACCTGATGACCAGCAGGGAGGAGCCTGTTCTCTGCTGGCCATTAAGCTTCTTATGGAATCACCGTGCGGTTGTCCACTTTATAGTGCCTGGTAATGGGACAGAATTGATATCTTTAAGCGAACAGAATGTTGTGTGTATTGTTAGAATAATAGCTGGGAGAACAATAGACTTGGGTGTCCTCCCTGTTAACCAGGAGGAATTATATTTATGGAGTCCTTGGTGCTCTCTGAGCTGAGAGACTGCCAAGGACCCCACAGTTCAACCCTGAGCTGCAAATATTCTCTTCTATCGGAATTATATTTAATTAGCTGTTCAAAATAAGAGAATGAAAGGCCTCTGCCGCAATTTGTTCCTAGATTTAAGTCATCATAATTCCTGTTAGATTTACATTCGACAACTCCAATTACTCTTGTAAATGCTGCTGTCTCTTTCCTGTTCTTCCAAAGCCATACATCTCATACTCAGGATTCTCTTTCAAATGATATAGGGCACATATTAAATTTAGATATTAGTTCTGAGCCATCATAGTATTTGGATACTTGGTATTTGACTATTTGTCGCACTAAAAATATGCAGAAAATACATTTAAAAGTCGATAACGGAATACCTTACATCACACCCCAAAGAACTTTGAAAATATTTTTTCCAGTTTTGCCCAGATTACAATATCACTCAAACCTCCAGTGGGAGGTGTTTCCAGAGGCCGACCCACTGATGGAAAAGCAACATTTCCAGGGTAGAGCATTTTGCACCAACCAAAATTTCCAGGTGGCTTTTAAAGCATCCCTTGTAGGATCTGATGCTTTAGCCTAATCTGGTGATAAAGAAAGTGTGAGGCAGTGCAGCCAGATCTTTTAAGTCTCAAGTGAGGCCACAACTTGCTCACTACAGCCCCCCACTGGACCAGGGAGCCCAGCTGATGATTTAACAAGAGCTGCCAGTATTATACGTGTAGGTAGTCCTCGACTTATGCCTACAATTGAGCCCAAAGTTTCTGTTGCTAAGCGAGACTGCTGTTGTGAGTTTTGCCCAAGTTTATGACCTTTCTTGCCATAGTTGTTAAGTGAATTACTGCAGTTGTTGAGTTAGTAACACAGTTGTAAAGTGAATCTGGCTTCCCTGTTGACTTTGCTTACCAGAAGGTCACAAAAGGGGATCACGTGACTTTGGGCACCGCAACTGTCATAAATACACGCCGGTTGCCAAATGTCACAATTTTGATCTGATGACTGTGGGGATGCTGCAACCATCATAAGTATGAAAAATGGTCATAAGTCTTCTTCTTCCAGTGCCATTGTAACTTCAAATAATCACCAAATGATAGGTTACAAGTCGAGGGCCATGTATATAAAATACGTAATTTGCCACTAAGTCTTGTGCCTAACCTTGCATCTGGGGCACATCGGTCCAATCTTAATGCTGGTTTTGCTTTGATTCTCTTCTTTTCCTTCTCCTCTCAATCAGTGAAAAATCAGGCCCGTTGGGTGAAGCAGTTCATTTTTGACATGGAAGAGCTATTTAGGATTACCAAGGACCCCTATTTCAATGTCATCATTGTAGACTACAGCAGTGACGACATGGATATAGAAAAAGCTCTGAAACGGTCCACCTTGCATAGGTAAGGATCTTTTTCCCTTAGGAAACGTATTTTCAGATAGAAGCAGAAGCCACTGTATTCCGAGTCTATAAACAGATGATGCAGTAATGAAACTTTTTACTTAAAGAGGTTTTACTGGCTTCTGAAGCTATGAATTTCTCTTATCATCCAGTTTCATTCTGGAGCACTAAATCACTGCAGGAACTAACCAGTTTGGAGTTTTTTTGTTGAATTCAAAAATAAGGACCCCCTTAATCCAAGGCAGGAATCATAAATTTATGAATGATTAACTCAGCATTTAGAATCATCTCTAAAAATGATCAAGTATTTCTTGAGAATGCCAAATCTTGAAACATGTTTATTCTTACATGAGTTTTTACAAGATCAGAAAGATGCTCAGTGAAATCTCACCATGTCTTATTAGGATTTTAGCCATGTTATAAATTGTTGATATTTGAAAAAAATACTTATCTTTGTCCTAAAGTCTTCATTTGAGTCATCCAGTTAATTCTACCTATAATTGACTCCTTTCACTATATTTACTCATAGTCAGATACAGCAAATTTACCTTGCCAGCATTACACTTTCTTGCTTGTAGGAATGTCAACTCACAAGCCTGCTTTCAGATTTTCATTTTATGGATGGAAGACTGAAATTGAGAAATAGTTTATTTCAAAACAGACGGTGACTTATAACAGTTCTGTCACAATTATAACTCCATTTTTTCTAATTTCTCTTCAGCTACCAATACTTGCGATTGACTGGGAATTTTGAGAGGTCTAAAGGTCTACAGGCTGGCATAGACAAAGTCAGGGTGAGTGGTGAGAGTTTGCAATATAGACTGTTACGTGGCTATTAACAATAAGAAAAAAGCATTTAAAGATAATCATCTTAGCACAATTATTTTTAAATAAGATGATTCAGCTGCATTGGCATCTCTGCTTCACAAGCTGCTAGTTTTGCTTCCAGGTGCATCACTTATAAAGCTCAATCTGGCACATGAGAGACTATCTCCCATAGTTTCTGCCTGGCTAGCACACATTGGCACAGTTGGTGTTCTTTGGGTCTCTGATGAAACCGTGCTATTTATAGGATCCCAGAAAGCATGTCTTCTCTGTTATTGATCCCACACTGAAAACCACATGGCCACCAGCATATTGGTATTCCATCAAGCTTTGAAGCTCTGGATATTCTCCCAAACTTTGGGTTAAAATGGATGGAGTCCCTTGTGTTTCTGCCTATGTTTTTGTATAAAAATGTCAGATCCCACTGTGTTTTGTTCTGTATTGTATTTTTATTGTTTATCATATTTTGAGCTTCCCAGAGTCAGAATATATCAAATGAATAAATAGTTCATAAAGATAACATTTAGTTTAGAGACAATCAGTTATTCAGGAGAAGATTGGAAAACAAGAGGAAAATACCTTTTCTAAGAAAAGGAGAAGAGGCAGCGGACAAGCTAAAGAAAAATTAACCTTAACATTTAGATTAAACTTTTCAATGTTAACGATATTTCAGCAATTAAGAAAGAAATGGAAAGAATTTTTGTTTCCTGCAAGCTTTCTCAAAATAATTTCTGCGTTTTCAAGAGATGCTTGTCTGGTGATGGGATACTGTACACATGGGAATCCTTGACAGGTCTATATTTCTATACTGGAACAAAACCAATACAAAAGAAAGGAAATATTGTCTCCAGGAGTCAGAGCAGAAATAGCCACGGAGGTACAGAAACCTATGGCCTAATTGGAGGAGATGATTCTCCTTGATTTAGACATGGCCACAACTGCACATAGGCATCAACGCCTACTAGATTGCAAAAGGATTGATAGGTAAGCGTAGGTTGCAAATAGTTGCAAACAGGCTGATGCGCACATCTCCCAAATCTCAACTATCTGCTGTGCAGAGATGCACATCCTGCATGCTAATTGATTGGTCCTTTGCTGCTTGAATGCTCCTTGGCCAGAACACTAACATTCACAGAAAGATAAAATGCAACAGCTATGCAACCATCTCTGAACTATGGTTCAGTGATGTGCACTGATGGAGAAGTCTAATACACCTTCAGACTCTTCCATCGTGCAGCATTGGATATTTTGTTGTGTTTTGTTGGATCTCCTTGATCTGGGGATATTTTGTTGTGTTTTGTTGGATCCCCTCAGCAGCAGTCTGATGACAATAGGATGGTGCCAGGATTTTTGTCTTCTATGAAAGTTAAGGGGCCACCCCAGATCTGGGGCAAAGAGGCTGTGGAGAGAAGCCCAGTGAATTAGGAAATAGCAGAATTAACAGCTCTGTATCTTTGCCTACAGGATTCTCACAGCATCATTTTTCTTTGTGATCTGCACATCCATTTCCCAGCAGGGTTCATTGACTCTGTTCGGAAGCACTGCGTGGAAGGGAAAATGGCCTTTGCACCCATAGTTATGAGGCTGAAGTGCGGTGCGACTCCACAACATCCAGATGGTAAGGGATTGGTTGTGGGCAAATGACGCTTCAAAAGCAGATTTATTTTCTGGGCAGCCTTCCCTAAATGAACATTCTCTGGAAATATAGGAGATCAGTCCCCATCAGTGGTGGCGAATCTATGGCACGAGTGCCAGAGGCGGTACTCAGAGCCCTCTCTGTGGGCACGCACGCCCTGGCCCCAGCCCCGCGGCCCCCTCACCAGCAGCCCCCCGGAGGAGAGTTGGTCTGGGGTGCGGCCCGCGCAGCCAAGCACATGGCAGCTGGGTAGCAGGGACAAGACTCCACCCTCTCGCCCCATTGTGTGCAGATGATGCTGCGGGGCATGGGCGGAGGGCATGGCCACCATGGCGCTGCAGGGCCGCCTGGGCAATCTGCGGCAGGCCGTGGAGGCGGGGGTGGGGGCAGGGTGGGGGGTGGAGCAGAGTGGGGGCGGGGCGGGGATGGGGCAGTTTTTGAGCACTCAGTCTCTAAAAGGTTCGCCATCACTGGTCCCAATAATCTCCAGCCCAGAAATAGTCCTGAAAGCCAGTTGAGTGGCTGCCTCAGCCCAACTCACCTCACAGGGTTGTTTGTTGTGGGGAAAATAGGAGGAGGAAGGTGTGTCGGATATGTTTGCTGCCTTTATTAGTTATTAGAAATCAGAATTTTCTAATCACGGTTAGAATCATGGTCTCCTGGTTGCTAGCCTGGTATCTTATCCTCTTCACCAAACTGGCTCTCTATGAATTTTTCACAAACACTGTATTATAAAAATAATTGATTGCTAAACAATGAACAGGCACACACAAAACCTTATTAAATTTCAACGACTTGACAATGAAATCATTTTGGCTTCATTTTGATTCTGAAATGTTTCAAATCGAAATCAGTATACGCATTGTGATTGCATTACTATTATATTAGACACATGTTTAATTTTCAGTTGTGTGAAGAATCTCTATCAACTGAATTTCTTGAATTGAAATCTCATATACCTTTCACAGCAATGGTTTTAAAAAGCAGGGGGAGAAAACCTGTCCAATCCTATATGTAAAGATCTAACATGTTACAGAGAAACGTTCTAACTGAGCCTTATCCCAGCCATAACCTTCTTAAACTCTGCTTTCTAGAAGAAGATTGTTCACTTATTTTAACAGCTACAACTCAGTTCTGGAAGTGTGGAGTCCTTGGTGCTCTCTGGGTTTGGTTTTTTTTCTTGCAGACATACTGACAATGTTATCTAGTTAGGTAATGAAATGTCTGCAAGAAAACAACCAAGCTCAGAGAGTACCAAGGACCCCATGTTTTAACCCCTGGTCTGTAAATATTCTCTTCTACTGGTAGTTCTGAGTATCTAAGAAAGAAGTTGGTCATTAATGTAGCAGAAAAAATATTGTGGAAAAATCCCAACGGATAAAATTTCAGTGAAAGAGCAATTGCATCTCATTAGCGTTTTATGTCATCAATTTTTAATTTGTTCCCCTATAGTATTAGATTTGCTTACCGATGTTGCTAGTCATCGGAATTTGAAGTGTGCAAGCCAATTAAATCTACTATGCATACAGACACCATGGATGACCTGGGGACTTTATTTTTTTTTTAAAAAAAGAAGTGGCTGATAACTATTATGTTTTTGGGCTTTTATAGGCTACTGGGAAGTTAATGGTTTTGGTCTCCTGGGCATATATAAATCTGATTTGCTTCGTATCGGTGGAATGAATACCCAAGAATTCCGTGACAAATGGGGAGGAGAAGACTGGGAACTCTTGGACAGGTCAGTAGGAATGTGGTAGCCATCTCTGAGGACAGTTCAGTCAATTCTCAGCAGAGGAACTNGCCCCATTGTGTGCAGATGATGCTGCGGGGCATGGGCGGAGGGCATGGCCACCATGGCGCTGCAGGGCCGCCTGGGCAATCTGCGGCAGGCCGTGGAGGCGGGGGTGGGGGTGGGGTGGGGGTGGAGCAGAGTGGGGGCGGGGCAGGGATGGGGCAGTTTTTGAGCACTCAGTCTCTAAAAGGTTCGCCATCACTGGTCCCAATAATCTCCAGCCCAGAAATAGTCTTGAAAGCCAGTTGAGTGGCTGCCTCAGCCCAACTCACCTCACAGGGTTGTTTGTTGTGGGGAAAATAGGAGGAGGAAGGTGTGTCGGATATGTTTGCTGCCTTTATTAGTTATTAGAAATCAGAATTTTCTAATCACGGTTAGAATCATGGTCCCCTGGTTGCTAGCCTGGTATCTTATCCTCTTCACCAAACTGGCTCTCTATTAATTTATCACAAACACTGTATTATAAAAATAATTGATTGCTAAACAATGAACAGGCACACACAAAACCTTATTAAATTTCAACGACTTGACAATGAACTTGTTTTGGCTTCATTTTGATTCTGAAATGTTTCAAATCGAAATTAGTATACACATTGTAATTGCATTACTATTATATTAGACACATGACTAATTTTCAGTTGTGTGAAGAATCTCTATCAAGTGAATTTCTTGAATTGAAATCTCATATACCTTTCACAGCAATGGTTTTAAAAACGGGGGGGGGGGGGGAGAGAGAAAACCTGTCCAATCCTATATGTAAAGATCTAACATGTTACAAAGAAAAATTCTAACTGAGCTTTATCCCAGTCATAACCACCTTAAACTCTGCTTTCTGGAAGAAGATTGTTCACTTATTTTAACAGCTACAACTCAGTTCTGAAAGTGTGGAGTCCTTGGTGCTCTCTGGGTTTGGTTTTTTTTTCTTGCAGACATACTGACAATGTTATCTAGTTAGGTAATGAAATGTCTGCAAGAAAACAACCAAGCTCAGAGAGTACCAAGGACCCCATGTTTTAACCCCTGGTCTGTAAATATTCTCTTCTACTGGTAGTTCTGAGTATCTAAGAAAGAAGTTGGTCATTAATGTAGCAGAAAAAATATTGTGGAAAAATCCCAACGGATTTGAAAGAGCAATTGCATCTCATTAGCGTTTTATGTCATCAATTTTTAATTTGTTCCCCTATAGTATTAGATTTGCTTACCGATGTTGCTAGTCATCGGAATTTGAAGTGTGCAAGCCAATTAAATCTACTATGCATACAGACACCATGGATGACCTGGGGACTTTATTTTTTTTTTTAAAAAAAGAAGTGGCTGATAACTATTATGTTTTTTGGCTTTTATAGGCTACTGGGAAGTTAATGGTTTTGGTCTCCTGGGCATATATAAATCTGATTTGCTTCGTATCGGTGGAATGAATACCCAAGAATTCCGTGACAAATGGGGAGGAGAAGACTGGGAACTCTTGGACAGGTCAGTAGGAATGTGGTAGCCATCTCTGAGGACAGTTCAGTCAATTCTCAGCAGAGGAACTGTATATAGATAATCCTCGACCTAGGACCACAATCGAGACCAGAATTTCTGTTGTTAAGCAAGGCACTTGCTAAGTGAGTACGCCCAATTTTATGAACTTTTTGCCATGCTTGTAAAGCGGATAACTTCCTGTTGTTAATAACACGGGCGTTAAGCGAATCTGGCTTCCCCCATTGACTTTGTTGTCGGAAGGTCGCTAAAGGTGATCCCATGACCCCAGGATACTGCAACTGTCATAAATATATGCCAATTGCCAAGTGCCTGGACGTTGGTCGCATGACCAGGCACTTAGCTGAGATAGTTGTAAGTGGGAATACCAGTTGTAAGTCATTTTTCCAGTGTCGTTATAACTTTGAATACTCGCTAAACAAATGGTTGTAAATCAAGGTCTACTGATTTATATTTGGTAGACCGGGTGCTCCACCCAACAGCATCCCCGTGATCATGTGATCAGAGTTGAGACACTTGACAATGGGCAAGTATTTACACAAATATATTATTAATTTATAACCATCCCCCACCTATGACCTTTTGACAAGCAAAATTAATGAGAAGCTGGATTGGCTTAACAACCACATGATTCACTTAACAACAATAAAATCAAGTATGATTCATTTAATAACCACCTTGCTTAGAAATTCAAATTCTGGTCCCAATTGTGGTTCTAATTATATTATAATCTTATGTTATTGCACATCACCCAAAATCACTTGTCATGAGAAGAGATGCTATATAAATTTGATAAATAAATATTGAAATTTCCTCCACCTTCTCTTACAGGATATTTCAGGCAGGCCTGGAGGTAGAGAGACTTTATATCAGGAATTTCTTCCACCACTATCACTCCAGGAGGGGCATGTGGAATCGACGTGTTTTGCAGATCTGACACACCGTCTTTCCACTTCTGAATCCCATTTTGAGTTTTCTCTGGACACATCACGAAGAAGACACCAGTTCTCTTTTCCACAGTGATCACAGCATAAATTTTGATGCTCAAGCAAAAAAAAAAAAAAAAGACAAAATGGAGAGTTTTCATTTAATCACTGGAAAGAACTGACAAGAGAACGATCCCGTTTCCACAATCTTCTGTCCAAATAGTTGATTTTCAGAGGGTGGAAAACTTTCTCACCAGCATATCACAGTCTTCACTCACTGAAGAGTCTCTTTATGGTGCCTTCTTTGTATGGATTTTTTTTAAACAAACAAACAAACCAGAATGCTTTCAATTCATTCTTAGCAAAAAATTTTAAAAAGCAATGGATTATTAAATGGATTAATACAGACTTCCATGATGTCTAAAATCCTGAAGGATCTCCAATGTTTGAAGGACAAATTGTCTATCACCAAAAAACAAAATAATATTGTGAAAGACTACAAACAGAAAGGTGTCAGAACTGAAATGCCTTACATAGTATGCTACAAGAGGATTATACCCTCATTAGATATATTTGTAAGGGCGATGCTCTTTTTTTGAGGTAATTTAACAACCAAAAAAACTAAAATTCATGCCTTTGGATTAACGTCAATCAATTGTTTGATCTTTGCATAGTGCTGTTCAACCTAATGCAGGATATATTAAGGAATTTCTCTTCATGTCTTCTCTTTTTGTATTCTTATATTCTACTCAGGTACACTGAAAAAAACATCGGCTTTAGAAAAATGGATATATTTTTCTTCGGTGACTATCTACTGCTTCTTTCTCTCAATCAATGGGATATTTGGTGGACTGATAGTCAAACTGCATCTGAAATCTTGCTAGGATCTGAATTGTTTTTGGCAGACACTTTTGTCAATCGTGATAATCATAGGAATGATACTGCAAATAGGAATATGACCATGGAACTGCCTGCTCTTTCTTGAATTCTCTCTGTTAACACTTGGGAAATTGACTGACATTTCAGTCCCAGACATCGGTACCAAGAAGCGTCAACAGCTTCAATATAGTTTTTTTTATTTATTGTGCATTCTTACTATTTTTAATTGGTTTCCGTTTTTTATTTTAATGTATTGTAAAACATTCTAAGAGAAAAAATGTTGAAGGGCAAGATATTATTGTTTATAAAATTATTTAATAAGTTATACTTTGGGATTGGGTTTTCAAATAGAAAAATAGTTTGCATGCATCTAAGAAAAGGAAGCCAATCAGTCAATTTCCTGGTGGCAAATTTTATATGAGGCAGAATGTGGAGCACCTATATGGAAAGTTTATGATTACCTTAGATCAGTGTTTTTCAACCTTAGCAACTTTAAGAGGTGTGGACTTCAACTCCCAGAATTCACCAACCAGCATAGTGAATGGAGAATTTTGGGAACTGAAGTCCACATTTCTTAAGGTTGTCAAGAGTGAGAAACACTGCCTTAGATTAAGTGCACAAAGTCCTAACTGAGGAGTATATGTATGCAAATGTGTATATGCACGTACATAAATTAAGCAATGGCAATAATGTTATAGTCTCAGAAATGGCCTTCTTAACCTTGAAGCAATGATCACAGTAACAGAGACAAGCAGCGGAAGTCCAGCAGAACTTTTTACAAAGGAAACAGAGTTTTTCTTGTTTAATGCAGTTGTGAATGTGAATAGAAACTATATCACTGTTTCTCAACCTTGGCAGCTCAAAGATATGTGGACTTCAACTCCCAGCTTTGCTGGCTGGGGAATTCTGGGAATTGAAGTCCACACATCTTCAGGTTGCCAAGGTTAAGAAACATTAATCTATGTCACTGCTTTACATGAGTGTAAAGCATAAAATAAAATAAAAAATGCTGCCCTTTTAAGAAACTGGCAGTCTTCTAGCTAAAGTCAGCCCACATAGTCAATTCCATCAGTCATCAGGAAATAGTAGATTTTGATTCTTTCCTCCTCAGTGGTTAAGCCTTTACAAACCTTATGTCCTCTATCTTGTCTAAGAAGATGCCTATCTACTCCTCCCTGCCATCCTGCGATAAGAGTCCTTGCTTCAAAAACTACGGAATTAAAGAAGAAAATGAATAGCTCTTATTATTTCTCCACAAGGAATTCCACATACCTTTCTCTGTGGCAAGTTCTCGTGGAGGATTTTGTTCCAGCTTCTGCTGAGTCCTTTCATGTAGCAGTGGTAGGCATAGATTCTCAAGTTCACCTACCTCTTTATTGCAAAATATTAATGTTCGCAGTTTTGTTACCAAGCGATTCTTATTAACTTGTTCAGGTCGGTTTTGTTGTTGCTGTGTGCTGTTTTTTCATTCAGGCACGAAGTTGAGGGGTTGTCTTCACTGCCAGTTTGTTTTGGAAAGGAAGGGCAACTGCAGCCTTGAAGAAACAAATATCACTGGATAGTCTCTTCATATACAAGCAGATATGCTGTCCCATCATTAAGGGATGTCATCCTGAAAAAAATATTTTCCTCCAGAATCCTTAATTGGTTTACATGGATGAACATTTGGTTATAAAATAAGAAAGGCTTGGGTCCAGTTTAGTTTCTGGTGACTTCAGGGACAAGTCCATCTGGGAACTTTTGGGCAAAGAAATGAGAATAATTTTTCCTTGCCTTCTTCCAGAGTGCTTTTTCCCCCCCCAATGTCCTAGCCCAGGGGTAGGCAACTGGCTCAGGAATTCTGGGAGTTGAAGTCCACGAGTCATAAAAGAGCCAAGGTTGCCTACCCTTGTCAAGGATCTGATATTTCCTGGTGGTAACTCATCCAAGTACCCCAGATTGTCTGGAGCAGCGGTTCTCAACCTATGGGTCGCGACCCCATTTCACGGGGGTCGCCAAGCAAGGCTGTCCGCCATTTTTTTCCCCTTTTCCGGCAGGTGCCTTACCTCCCTTGGACTGGGCCAGCTGGTGGTCGGCCTGCTCCGTCTCTGCCGCTTGCCAACTACGCCTCGGCCAGCGCAGGGGGCGGAACCATGCATGCGTGGCGCTCCCGGGCAGGGAAAGTCCTCGACTTACAACCGGTTGGGTAGTCCTCGACTTACGACCGGTTTAGTCCTCGACTTATGACCGGTTTAGTCCTCGACTTACGACCGGTTTAGTCCTCGACTTACGACCGGTTGGGGGGGGTCGTGGCATTAAAAAGGTTGAGAACCACTGGTCTGGAGGGAAGCAAATAATGGCAAAATGGCAGTGGAACAGGACAATTGCCCTGTTGTCATACATGTATCCAATGCATGTTAATAAGGGTGGGCTTTCAATCACCTGGTCATTTGCTCCTGTAAGTTCCAGCTTGACGCAGTCAACAAGGGTCTCCTAGCAATTATTAAACTTCTTAAGGTTTTTTTTTAATCTATGTTTTGAAACAAGATTCCAACTTTTTCGATTACTGGAATTGAAAAGCAGAAGACAACCATCCCAACTAAAAGACATTCACACAGATGTGCTGATTTTTCTATACCTGAGAAAAATAGTCCCAGCTGCTGTTCTGGGGCTAGCAAGAGTACTGCTTAAATCAAACCTGACTGCATGTCTCCATGGAATGCAAAAGTGCTTGTTCTCAGGAAATACCCCATAAGTACAAGGAAAGAATTATTTGGGAATCTGTATCCTGGCTGTATGAAGCAGGAAAAGATGTATGATTATTGTGTATCTGTACTGTACTCTGGAAAAGATTTATGTCCCGATTAGGGAAATTAAAGAAAGGTTAGCTTTTGCTGCAAGGAAATAAGCTTCACACTTCCAAGAGATATAACACAACTTAGTTTTTGCTTTTAGCTTTTATCAAGGAGTCTTGATCATTATTTATAAAGAACGAGATATTTTCGATATTTGTATTATGAATTATGTAGCATTCTTTCCTAATTGATTCAAAGAAGTATTGTGCAGAAGAATGAAAAAGCACTAACTCTCAGAAAGTTTGCTGATTGTGTCCCTTGGTTTTTAGAACTTTATGAGTACCTCTTAGGAAGGACCATGAGTAGGATATTTAATTCTTCTAGGCATTAAGGCTAGTTGCAAATACTGCATCACAACAGCAGCATATAGGAATTAGATATTTAAAGACTACAAGATAAGAGTCTGGATTTTTAAAAAATGCAATCAGAAAAAATTCGGTCGCTCTGTCTAATGAAGTGTGCTGCAGAAGAACCTCACAGTGGCTTATTCTGTGTAAGCTGCTGAGAATAATTTGACCATGGTGGGATAGAAATAGGATTGATAAATAAATGCAATAACCATATCACTATTTCAAACCTGAGCATTTCAAATTGCTGGGTAAAAATACTGTGTGAAAATAAGACCATAAAGGCATAAAATTAACACTTCCTCATAGTGCTTGGATAGATACAGAAATTTAGCTTTTCATTGAGGTTTTCTCCCAGAGAAAAGAGACTTAGTTTATGGCAATATGTATGGCAAAATAACTATGTAAAAAACTAAAAAAATCATGGGTGTCCAAGTATGACCCATAAGTCAAGGTGCAATCAAAGGTCTATCAGCATACATTGGACTTTAAAAAAAGAATTATTGTTTAACAATAAATCAACCAATATTTCTTCAATACAGCTTTCCTCTGCTGCCCACCAGCTCTATTAGACGTTCCTTGTGATAATCCCTAACAGCACAATAGAGGAAGGAATGAAGATTGAATTTTGCTATCACATCAGTAAAGAGAGACAAGAATGTGACTCTGTTAATCTATATCTGAATAGACTTATTGTTCTGCTGTGATTTCTTTTTCAAGCCTACCTTCTTTTTCATGAATATCTGAGGTGTGGTTTGGGTTTTAAATTCTGCATCTCTGAAATGTGTGCCTTAAATGTGATCTAACTTTTTCTTTCAAGAAAGAATGAACCCTGATTACTTTATAAATACAGATTTCTCAATGAAAATTTTATGTTGTCTGTGTTTGGTTAGTTTGTCCTTTTGAAACAAAGAATCATGTTCAGTTTATAAATACAGATTTCTCAATATTGTGTATGTGTCCTTAGTTTATCTTCTGAAACAGTTCTAAATGATCACACATATAATAAAATTATACTTTAATATACTTTAATAGAGAAACATAAAACAAATAATTATGGAATATAAAACAATATCCCAGTCTTAGAACAATATTACCCTTTTAAAATGAATGGGATATCAACCTTGTCACGTGCAGAAAATATATACACAGAAATTTCAAGAGACATCATTCTGGATTCAATTCCAGGTGCTGAATCTCCATTTTAGAGAAGGAATGGACAACTCTAAACCATCCCAGGTTGTTATTAAGTGCAACTTCCAGATACTGAATCATCTTGGCTGGTGGCAGGAATGATTTGAACAGTGACTTCTGTATGTTGTGGCTATGTTCACACAATAGACTATGCTATGGTTTGTTTAATCATGTTTTATTAACTGACAGTTAGCTAGATTCATAAAGCACACAGCAAAGCTATAAAATCTGGCTTATAAACCGTACTGACAACACAAAACACTGCTCAATAAATGTTTCATGCACCATCTAATTGTACTATCCAGTGGGATCACCCTTTCTTGATTTTTCCTGAATTGAAAGCTGCTTCACTCATTTGGAAAATGGTGTCTAACCATCCAACTACTGTCTTTCTTGAGAAAAAGGCCAAATAAATGGAAATAACATGAGGGCTGCCCAGAGACTCCTTTTAACAGCAGGATCCAACTTTCCAATTATAATTTCTTACAGCACCCAGTGCAATTCTACATCAGGGGCACTGTGGGAAGCTAAATAGAAACAATGGTAGATATAATATCAGAGTCCCTGATAAAGGAACCAGCTGAAGCAGCAGAATGAATACAGACAGTCAATACAACAGTAGGTTTTGTTTTCCTTTAAATGTATCTGATGATGCTACTTGGGAGCACTTATGCAGAAGTGTGGCTCCCTCTTTAAATTCCCTGCAGGGCAATAGTAAATAAACTAGCGTATAAATGTATTTTCACAAGGGGGTTCCCACATTGAATTAAACAATAATGAGCTTGTTTGTTTGGTTTAGTCTGGTGCACAAATAGTGGCTTAAGTGTTGCAAATGTGATATGCCAACAAGGAGACATGTATTGCCTATGGTCTCCTGGCATTTCCCTGGTTTGTTTTTGGACATTGAATTAAACAGCAATTTAAGTGCAA